ACATGTAATGCACGATAAATCTGGTATGTTTTGAGATCGAAATTCATGTATTTTCAAACGTGAAAACGAGAATTGCATTCGAAGTGATCGAAAGAGCGTTTATGTCTTCTTACGAGGTAATACGAAATAAATTTCTTTTTCGATCATTTTTAATTTTTTAATTATTTTCGAAATAAATACGAAATAAATTTCGTTTTCGATATTTTTAATTTTTTAATTTTGGAATATATAAATTTTCAAATTCTTTAATTTTTGTTTTACAGATTTACGAATTAAAACGTTTGTAGGTTCGCAGCCTTTTGAATCTTGAAATATTCGAATTTTCAAATATTTGAATTTTCAGAATTTAGAGTTTAAATTTAGAATTTCCGAGTTCTCGAGGTTTTAAATTTTTGAATTTTGGTTGATTAATTTTCAATTTTCTAAATTTACGAAGTTCTCAGACTTTTGAATCTTGTAATTTTCGAATTTTCAAATAGTTAAATTTTTAAAATTTGGAGTTTTAATTTAGAGCTTACGATTTTTCTAGTATTTGAATTCTTGAGGTTCTAAATTTTCAAATTTTGGTTGACTAATTTTCCATTTACCAAATTTACGAAGTTCTCAGGTTTTTAAATCTTATAATTTTCGAATTTTCAAGTAGTTAAATTTTCAGAATTTAGAGTTTAAATTTAGAATTTCCGAGCTTTCGAGTTTTTGAATTGTCGAAGTTTCAAATTTTCGAATTTTGGTTGATTATTTTTCCATTTTCCAAATTTATGAAGTTCTCAGGTTTTTAAATCTTGTAATTTTTAAATTTTCAAGTAGTTAAATTTTTTAAATTTAGAGTTTTAATTTAGAGCTTCCGATTTTTCGAGTATTTCAATTCTCGAGTTTTCAAATTTTCGAATTTTGGTTGATTAATTTTTCAATGAAAACAATAATTATTTAGAACAAAACTAAATCCCACAGATGCAATTAATTGACTTTTTAATTAAATAACGAAGTAATTATATATAATACATAATACATAAACAATATAATTAGAAAAATCAGGATCTAAATCCATATGGATTAATAATATTCATTGAGAGGAGTATATAATTCTTAATTAATAATTTTTTTTAAGCAAAATATAATTTTATATTTGCAATTGTGTAAATTATTATTGAAGAAGGAAGGAAATGTATTAATTAAACGAACTTATCTAACATCTTTCTCAGAAATCTTTATTTCTTATTTTGTAAGAAGCATTTGATGTATTACGTATTTTCCCTTCATTTGAGTGCACACGTTTAAATTATGAATCGACATACGTATATTTTCAAATATTCTTGTTTCGTTCCACGTTGTCTCACACTTTTCATTCATGTACACTTTCCATTCATTATCGTAATTCAACTATACCGTTTATCGAGAATGAATAAATCACAATTATTAAGTATGCCTATAAGAAAATACAAAACTATATTTCTCATGGGAAATTATTATTTTTAAAACGTATATTGATTTAGTATTTTTTTTAATCTTGTTTAAGCTTAGTTTAAATTATTAAAATTTCGAGATCAGTTTTATTATATTCGGTATTAGGAAAAATGAAAAATTATATATTATTATCCATGGGAAAGGGATTATCTAATTAATCGAAAACAAAGTTGCACTGATTCAAAGAGCACTTAACTAAGAGCATTTAACTATGGAAAGAATTCTTATTCAAAGTCATTTTTGTAGGAGATTTCAAGGTCACAAATTTTTTTTTCAATCAAATCTTATATTTATTTCTTTTTGTCATATACTTATGCAGCTTAAGAAATATATGCATATAAATCACGTTGTTTATTATTTTTATTGAATATTAAATGTGATTATTAAATATGATTATTAAATATATAACATATTGATTATTAAATACTTCTATTTCTATTTAGCGATAGGCTATCTTTTGTGTAACTTCCGTTTTCTCCATGTGCCATTATTATAAGACAAAGAATATTTAGGAAGATTAATAAACATAATCTAACATCCATCTTTTTGGAATATTTTAATACACATTATCACTCAAATAAGACCAAAAAAGTAACGAAATAAAATAAATAATAAACTAAATTATTTAATATTAATATTTTAATTAACGTCATCGATGAAACCGTACTCTGTCATAGGATATACTTATATACGTACATAGTACATGAGTAGAGTGACATTAACCCATTTGCATTCAAGCGCGGAATATTCCGCAAGTCACGACTGTCGTCTATCACCGAGCGCGGAATATTCCGCGAGCTACGACTGTCGCCTATCACCGAGCGCGGAATAATCCGCGAGCTGACTTTTCATATGCCATGGATCACGTTTGATCCCTTTTGTGAGCATCTCATCTACATCGGTTCATCATATTCTTAACAAGTTTTACTTTTGTCGTGAAAATCCTTTTAACTGCCGTTATGGGTAGGTGCTGATACGCGCGCGGTGATACGGGCTAGTCGTCAGTTGAACGTCGCTGATGCTTGGAACACGGCACCTTGAGCCATAATGCAAATGGGTTAACTAGCATCCTTAACCGTTCTTGTCCCTAGCAGTGCGATCGCGCTGTTCAGATTTCATGTCGAGAAGACCCAGCACATTTCAGGCGTTCTCGACAGCTGACGGTGCGTCACCAACTGTCGAAGTCGAAACGTTATCGCGCCACTTGGACATTCATCACCATAATATAAACGAAGCGCTACCGCGCTGCTTGGGATTTCCGGACATAAAATAGAAGGAGCGCTATCGTGTTGCTCGGGTCTTCTTGTACCCATTTAGAGGCAGCGCGGTCGCGCTGCTTGGGATTCGTTGACAGTGTTGTTTCAAAACCCTCTGAGACAAACTTAACACGTTAAGTGCCACGCCGGTCCCCAGGGACCGACGCTAGACTTTTCGTTCGGGCCCGACCGGTCCCCAGGAACGGGCCCAGACTAAGACCAAAAGGTGCTAACTTTGGTGTTAAATTCTTCGCCATCTTTGGACCTAACGTTTGGGAATTCCTGTTGTAACAATTGCTACAGTATCTCCGAGTTTTATGAACACTTTACCCACCGCTGGTGGCCCACTTGACGGCCGAATCTGGGCCTGAACGGAACGGCAAGCAAAACGGGCTGGGCACTTAAAGTCTTAACCATGATCTAGGCTCCATAGTCTCAACATTGGACTGTACCGATTTAACACATTCGTCGCCTAACGCGATTCGGTTGAGTTTCTCGCGGGGCCCAAATCCTACTGTCTGAGCGCTAGAACGTTATCGGACTGATGATTTGGATGGGTCTAGTACAGACACCGCTCGTTAGATGTTGGTCAATGAACTCTATTTACAATTTTCCATTTCCTGTAATCGTTTTGAATTACTATCAGCAATCTTGCATTTCGCAAATAACCAAACGATAGAACAGAGTAGCAGACTTGGTAAAGTTTTACCACTCATAAACATATTGACAAACAATTACGAAAAATGTAAAAACACTACGACCTATTGTTCCAATTGTTCAAAATCACTTCAAATGTGTTTAGACTGTTTTAACGAATACCACGCGACATAGTGTAATGTAATATTTTATCCTAAATATAAACTAATAAAGAGTATAGTATAATGTGTATATTTTTCATATTTTTATGTTGTATATCCTATATTTATAATTCAGTGCTTATTCCATTAAATTCCTTTTAAAAATCCAGCTGAAAATCCTATTTAACTTTAACAAGGAGAGCGTCACCCATATTTGGGTAACGGGGCCCCCACGGAAGCATACTCGTCACCCAGATATGGGTGACTTTTTCGCTCTTCTTGTACAGTTCAAGTAAATGTAGTGTTAATTTCCGATATTACTTGATGCTTTTCCGTATCCTTGTAACACATGACACCATCTAAGCTTGAAGTCATAATGGATGCATGTTTTGTTGATAATATTCTATCGCGAACATCTCTCCATTTTAGCACCACAATACCGTTGTCATTTTCTCGTACTATCATTTCACCTCTCTTCAATGGCTACGACATTACAATACTTGGCATCAATTTGTTGTTGTCCGTACAATTTCAATGGCACGTGCCTTAAAATGTTAAAATGTAAATATTTGCTAATTCATAGCTCGTGTAAAAGTTGTCGACAAAGTTCGTCCTTCGTTTAATAATTCATCTGCAAGTTTTCGGCTATGCCAACTTGCTTTCTTCCGTTGGTGTCTCGTCCAGAATATATGTTCGTAGACCATGTGTACCCTTCAGTGGAGCACAATTTTTATACCATACTTATGCGATTTCGTTGATATGTATTGCCTGAATATTAGTCGTCCCCTCCAAGGAATTGTCTCATCAACTACAATATCTTGGCCTGGTAAAAAGCTTTTTCGTAATTGTCTGTCAATATGTTTATGAATGGTAAAACTTTTCCAAGTCTGCTACTCTCTTCTATCGTTTCGTTATTTGCAAAATGAAAGTTTGCTGATAGTAATTTAAAACGATTATAGGAAATGGAAAATTGTAAATAGAGTTCATTGACCAACATCTAACGAGCGGAGTCTGTACTAGACCCATCCAAATCATCAGTCCGATAACGTTCTAGCGCTCAGACAGTAGGATTTGGGCCCCGCGAGAAGCTCAACCAAACGTGTTAAACATCCATATAATTCTTTTATTTCCTAACTATTTTTGTCTCGTTGTCGTTTTAACGCCTTGGCTACTGTGGGCGCATATACGCGCTCAGAAATTTTGCTTTTGTGACACGGAGGGCGCATATAAGCGCTCAACGCAGTTCGTTTTCTTGACACGGAGGGCGCATATAAGCGCTCAACACAGTTTGCTTTTCTGACACGGAGGGCGCACCTCTACCAAAATTTTGCCGTTCTCGGCGGACATTGTAAATGAATTCCTACCCGTGTGGTACGACGGGTGCGTTTCAAAGTCTGTCGTAGTCAAAAGGTTAAATTAACTTCTCAAATTGTACTTGTTTGCTTAGAAAATTGTATATATTTAAAAATGATTTTCTTTTCAGATTCATCGGATATAGTAGATTGCAAACTGAAACTAATACTTGGACTGATATGGACCTTGATTCTTCACTACTCGATCTCGATGCCCATGTGGGAAGGAGAGGACAGCGATGGCACGGCGAAATCGGAAACTCCAAAACAGAGATTAATTCGTTGGATCCACTCCAAAGTTCCCGAGTTACCAATTACCAATTTTACCACCGATTGGAACGATGGCCGCGCTGTTGGCGCTTTGGTGGATGCTGTTGCGACAGGTCTTTGTCCAGACTGGAAGGACTGGAACAAAAATGACGCGATTCAAAATGCATCAGAGGCGATGCAATTAGCCGATGATTGGCTAAACGTACCTCAGGTAATTATAATAATAATTGGTATAATTATAGTCTAATAGTAATAACTATTATTATATCAGTAACTGAAAAATGATATAACAACAATTGTTAACCTAATTACAATTGTAATGTACTAATGACTATTATTTTCACTATGAGTATAGTATGATAGTAATAATAGTAGTTATTATTATTATAATTTCTTATGAGACTTATCGTTGTACATAATAATTATACACAATTATAATATTTGTGTAAAACTATAATAACTAATAGTATATAGTTATACATAATAATTATAATAATGTAACAACGATAATAACTATTGTCTTATTTTATAAAGAAAATTTTGTTTGCACTAACCTAATTGTTAACCTAATTACAATTGTAATATACTAATGACTATTATTTTCACTATGAGTATAGTATAATAGTAATAATAGTAGTTATTATTATTATAATTTCTTATAAGACTTATCGTTGTTCATAATAATTATACACAATTATAATATTTGTGTAAAACTATAATAACTAAAATTATACAGTTATACATAATAATTATCGTTATATTTATAATTATAATAAGAATTATAATAATGTAATAACGATAATAACTATTGTTTTATTTTATAAAGATAATTATGTTTGCACTAACCTCGTAGCAACTTTTTCTTTGTTTACGTATCTCATTTCTTTATTGTTATCTTTTATAGCTTTTATTTGCAGGTTCAGAAAATTTTATGTATTATTTTTGCTTATACACTATCTATTGCGTATTTGTTTTCTTTCAAAATATAGAATAGCTTAAGTGAAGTTTCGTATACATATATCTGTGTAGATTTAGATCAATAACGATTCGCATCCAAAAGTATGTTATACCTTTTAAATGATCTCGAATGAGATAATTTTAAATTATCTTCGTGAAGAAGTATTCGTTTTTTAAGAAACGAAGAAAAAGATAATTTCTTTGAACGTATAATTTTATCATTTTATCTCTTCAGAAAATGATTTACGTATTCGTATATGATAATGGAAATTGATGTTAAAAAATATCTTATACTACTACGTAGTATACGCTTGTATATAAATTTTAGTAGTTTCGTAACTTCATTGATGATATTAATCTTGTAAGTTGAAACCACAGACTTTGAAGTTATTTGCAATTATCGGTATCAGTATACTTCGTTTACAAAATATTAGTCAAATAAAACGAAGGTAATATACAAATAATACAAGAACAAGGTTCAAGATAAGACATTGACTTATTAAAATAACTTGCAAATTTAACTTACTATGGTAAACCGAGTGATATAGGTATCATAAATTATATAATAAATTAATGGCTAAATTGGATTGGGTGGTCACTTCCCATATAATTAAAAGTATGTATCAAAAAATTTTTTAAAATACAACTTCTGTTAAAGAGGTGTTTACATATTTCTATCGCATTAAAGCAGTTGTTACTAACTTATTAATAATTATTTTGTGTCAGAATCGTATAAGTAAATTTACACGTACAACTCTAGAGTGCTATTTTCATACTATGTCGGGTAGAGTTCATAGTGCAACCAAAAGAGTAGATATAGTAGATGATTTAAAAGATTCTTTTCAATTAGTTTTTTGAATTAACCCTCTATGGGCCCGTGTAACTTTCAAGTTACATGCTAATGTATGGGTATTTTATTAAATACTACATTCAACGTTATCGTCTTCATCACTCCAGTTCGCGATTTTTCTTTCGATATATTTATAATTATTTTTACAATATCTCCCGTGGGTCTATTTTTAAAAATTCTAATTCTTTTTCATTTACCAGTTATTCGATCATGATAGGTTAGGTCCTCTATGGCCCCCTATGACCTTTTTTCCACCAGATGGCGTGGAAAATTATCTTGTCTATCTATTGCACATTATCTTGGCACGATAGTACAAACGTTGCTAATTCAAACTTCCAATATGAATTCGTTATAATAAAATTGTCAAAATTGCTGAATTTATTGGTTGATATTTGTTGATTTTATGTTACATACAATTCTTATAGTCAAGAAAAATATATATTCGGTCCATAGAGGGTTAATTTAATTTGTCTGTTGAGATGTGAGAATAAATTAGATATACTACAATATAGAAAAATCCATATCATAGATACTATCCTTTTTAAACATAACTGTGCAAAAAAATTTAACAGTGAAATTAAAAATAAAAAAGACAATTGCCTGTTGAGCCTGTTCGTAATGATCTTGCAATAAGTATGACATTAAACTCGAAGAAAAAAAATATATAATATATAATAATAATAAAAAAATGAGACTCAGAAAACTAAATTTAATTCTATTATTTCTTTCACAGCTCATCAAGCCAGAAGAAATGGTTAATCCAAATATAGACGAAATGTCAATGATGACGTATCTGTCTCAATACCCTAGCGCGAAACTAAAACCTGGAGCACCCCTTCGACCACGTACCAATCGGAACAGGTAAGCAAATGAATGAATTCTATATTTCAAAATTTTTCTTCAAATATAATAGCTACGTATATTTTATGAAAATTCAATTAAATATCATGGTATCACGTCATGTGAAAGAAATAAAAGAATATTAATCCATATATATATATATATACGTTCATACCAGACCTGGAGGAAATTTGTTTAAAATGATACTGTAAAAAAATTATTTTAAGTAATGTTGATTATTGTTTGATAAATAATATATTGCAGATGATGTTATATTCCTACTTTGGTTAATTAAATAATAAATTGGAGAATCGATTATTTTAGGGAACGAGCTCTATTTGAAAATGTATTTTTGAAATAGTATTCCGAATAACAATGTACTGATAACATTGGTGAAAAGTAGGAATAATATAAATAATCAATCCTGCATATTAGGAAATTAGTTATTTTCATCAAAATTAACTAACAAATATTATAATTCTTTTTGTGAAGTGACAAATAAATTATTTAATTATAAATACATTAAATCACTTTTTGTTTGAAACAATTTATGAAATATTTGTGTTAATTAAAAAATAGATTACTTTTTATATGGCTTTCAGGAGCAGTTTTGAAATAATGAAATTTAAATGTTCTTTGGAAACCCCAGGTCTGGTTCATGCAGTTGCATTTTAAATTGCCATTATTATCATTATTATTACCATTATTCTTTTCAACATTGAGGGTATATATTGCATAAAGATTTATCTAAGGTAACACTGCATACGTGTTAATTTATTGTACTTTATTTAATCAGCAAATTCTTGGTTAAAAGATATTGAGAAGATGAATTCATCTGGTGTTTATCGAAAGCAAATATTCATTTGTATATAGATAAATATGGATAAAGGTGTACATACAGGTTGTCTCAGAAGTACATGTCAATACTTGAGGAGTTGAATCTATACATTAAAATAAGTAAAGAATGTTCTATGAATCCTGTTCATATGCATTCTGTTCCACTTTTTAAGTAATAAATAAAATAAAAAATGTTTGAAAGTATTCATCACATGCTTTAATTATATAATTACGTTTCATCTAATATATACAAACAAGTTCTCTCCCATTAGATTTTTACTTTTGGATCATTCAAAATTCATTGTATATTCGACATCAGTGAACAATGTGTGAAGAAGGATACAAAGTGGATTTGAACCAGTATTGAGGCACGTGATAGACATTTGGAATATTTTTTTTTTTGTAATAATAATATATATGTTAGGTGTAGTAAAAAGAAATCCATTATTTTTGCATGAAATTGAAGGCTTTATTTTACATAGTTAAAATGATCCTATTTAGGTCAAATATGTATTTTGTTCGTTAACTTGTTGCCATTTTAAAGGTAATTCCATTATACCTCTCTCGTAGAAACCCTCGTCTCTATTAGCAAACAACTGGGGCAGTCGATTTTCACAAGCTTCTCTTGAGGCGAATTTTTCATCAGCAAAATTATGTCGGATTCAAAATTGTTCCGTCCCGGAGAGCGTGAACATGATTTTTATTCTAAGGCTAACACTTTTAACAGACCTAACGGTTTACGATATATTTTATATCGCGACTGCAATTCCGGAGGATAGATATGCCTCACCGCCGTTCTAGCGGATTAAGTTGTAAAGGTAAAGGCGAAAGTTTAGGAATTTTTACAAGTATCAGACTCGACAGATGGGACCCACGTGTGACAGACCCAACAAGCGACGGACGGACACCACTTATAAATCACGTCATTGACCATCAAAAATCGGCTCCTTGACAGTTTCCTACTCCTTAGCCAAAGGTCCTTCCGTCACACCCTCTGTCCAATTAAAACTCCTTACTTTTCCACCACCAACGTTTATTTTGCCCGATCAGAACTAAACTGGAGAAAACACCGGACAGGACACGACGAGACACGACATAGATCAAATTCGAGAAATCGGTTCGTCTTCGACACCGATCCTTGAAACATCTTACTTACACGTATAAACGCGTGTTCGAAACGGTACTCCGTTCAACGTCTCCATTATAACTATTCTATACTTTTCTATAAATAAACGCTCTCTTTTATC